AACCGGTAGACTATCACTTTTGAGTGATAATTTATTAAACATGATTGTATGTTTTGATGATACAAATAAAGTTAACTGTACAATGAACAATATATATAGATGGTGACTGACCAATCATCATAACTCTCTTCAGTTCTTTGTGGGGATCTTTCAGCTTTTTCAGACAGCTACATGCTCTATAACATTTTATGCAATGTATTGTTCTTACTTAGTTTTAATGAGCTTTATCCATACTGTTTTTTATCATTTGTTGTAGGTAATTTGATTTTTACACAAGCTCCAGCCATTCTTATTCCATCATAATCCAAACTGACTCCAGTATGAGTAAATCTTATTTTACTAACTCCTTTACCATAATCTAAAAATTCGTGTTCAAACTGCAAGTAAAAATTTATGTGGTTAGTAATGTTTGATGTGACGCCTAATGAGTTTTAATTTTTTTTTTTTACATATACTTAAGAATACTTACTTTAGACCACTGAAATTGTTGTTCTACTTCATCCAACATCATCGAGAAGCGGTAAGAATCCAACACATTGTCCTCTTGTGTCAACAAGTCGACTTGACACTTGTATACACCAAAACCACAACCAATAAAGTAGTACTCACTCACCTAAAAAACACAAGTATCAAAAATATTTTGAGATTCTTTTTTACACAGTAATATTATTACCTGTATTGGAGGCTGCAACACATCCAACAAGTGGTTTTGAAAACCTTCTTTAAGCAAATCTATAATTTGATACCTACTGCACTCAATGTCCACACCATCGGTGTCATCGGCTAAGAAACAATATGATTCTCCTTTGAATACAGGGTCATCCGGTAGGTTTGGCGCTTCATAAGGTGGACATTCAATGGACCAACAACACATGTCGTCATTTACAAGTGTATTCCACAAGCCATCCTTCCCGGAGTGATTTTTGATTAAATTTTGGTCAAACTTTTTATTAAGAATGGAATATACTAGTGAGCAGTACATGGTCCAGGGTGCTGCGCGATGGGCAGACAGTGAATAACCAATCATCATTTCAGCTTTTCTTTTCCACACGTACTCCTGTATGAGGACATTCCAGCTCTTACAGACTAGCTGACAGTTAATTAAAGACTTGCAATCTACCCAGCACAGCAGTTCCATGATTAACTCCTTAGGAATGTATTTGTCGTCAAGGGTGAAGCCATTGCAGCTTACCTCGTTATAAGTCATTTGATCGTCTAATAATGGAATGTTTTGCAGTCGATCATCTAATAGATATATTTGAACTTCACACGCAGTGTTTGTGTTTTGACAACCTTGACTTAACCTCTAAAAACTAAGATCACGGAAATATTCTCTCTAGTATGTTACCCACAATACTCCATGAAAAACTAAATTATTAATTAATTAAACAATCAACCATTTGTCTGAATTAACTCTATGTATTGACAGTGACTTTGATGCTAGTGAAAATAATACGTTATCCAACTTTCGCAAAACAAAGGTGTGTTGTTGTAAGTACTTTTTGTTCACTCAGTGACTTTGTTAGTTCAATTCAAAGAACTATAATCTCTGGTTAGTTTGTTTTGAGTCGTGAGAGAGTGTAAGTTGACACACATAATAAATGTGTTGTGAGTTGTGACCGACAAAACTAATAAAACTTTTTTTAAACCGATTAAGTCAAAAAGACCGTCCCATATGGTGTAAGAAGCAGCAAAGTAGTATATAATATTTATGCAGTACACTTCATGGCAACTTTATCTTATACCCGCAACATCTTATTCATCTTGTAAAATTACCGGCGGTACAAGTTGCCGGACATACCGAAACTGAAACTTGCGGAAACCGGGAAACAGGATACAGGAAACTTTCCTCCTTTGTCCTTTTTCCTACTTTCCTTATATTACACATCACTAGCGCAGTCTGGCGGAGAATTTTCCGAAAACGAATTGGAATCAGCCTCGCTAGATGGCGCTAAATCTAAGTGAACTATATCAATCCATCGCTGCTGGCTGTTTTAAAACTAATAAAACCTATTTAACAATAATAATCTACTGCTATACCTGGTACAAGCAATCAGTGGGCGAGTTCATACTATATCTATTTTATAATTGATCAAAGGAAAAAAGAAAAAGAAAAAAGAAACACGTGATATTTTTGTAGAAATACATTGAGCATTTGTCTTTACACTTTGTGTTGAACCAATAAAGTGTTCAATCAAAGGTTAAACTGTGTTTATAATTTTAAAATTATTACTACACTACTTCGTCATTCAGTTTTCAACTTTCAATTATCAACTATCTGGTTTCAGTTGTTTCATAAACGTATTGTAAAAATAATTATATGTGTTTGAGTACTTTTAATAAAATGTACGAAACGTTCGATTGACAAAACCCCATACGGCATGGGGATTACATTAATGTTACAAAAAAGAATGTGCGCCGTAAGTGCCTTTGAATTGGGTTCGATTCTTGGTCGTTAGCACCACATTGGCAAAGTAAGTACAAAGACACATGAATTGTCGAAATGAAGAATCTTGGACGGATAATTTTAAATCTAAAATAAATAAAATAAAAAACTTTTGATGTGGGGGGGGGGGGAAATAAAACGCGTGTTTTGTCATTTTACAAATTTAGATTCATGTTTGGCTTTCCGCGACAATAATAATATTTGTTGATCTCGTGAATCAGCATAAAAAAAAGTGGCTCCATCAGAAATTTGTTTGTTTGGCCTTACACCGAAAGAAAAGTACGAAAACAGGTACACACAAAGAAGGATCATCTCGCAAAATGGCACACCGAAAGAAAAGTACGAAAACAGGTACACACAAAGAAGGATCATCTCGCAAAATGGCACACCGAAAGAAAAGTACGAAAACAGGTACACACAAAGAAGGATCATCTCGCAAAATGGCACCCGAGGTGATTCGGCTCTTTCGGCCGTGTGAAAACCGACAACTGCCGGCCGGTTTCCCCCTGACCTCAACTTCTTAATTAAGACAGCCAAGCCTCTCTCTCTCTCTCTCTCTCTTTCACGTGGGTGTACGACTCTCTCGTCTTTATCTGACATGACTCACGTCGAAATATGGTACTTTGTCTCCCGTCGATTTCTTTTGGCACCTTCGATCTTCTCTCCTCTGCCACCGGTTATTTTTTTTTTTCATCCTCCATTTCTCTCACACGTGTCTCTACGCTTATGTTATTGTATCTTACACGCGAGGCCCCCGAGTTTTCATCCTTTTATTCTTTCTCGTTCTTCCGAGGTGTCATCCTCTCTCACTGTGGGTGGGTGGTATTGGCTGCTAATACAAGCAACGAAAAGATAGTAAGTAAAAAAATAACAATAACAATGAAATAAAAGAAGACAAGGCCCGTTGTTGCCACCGATTCAGTGTGTATATAACCCACGCTTGAGATATGCCATTTATTATTCACGGCCCAATATGATTTGCATAAGTATATACACACACGTGTGGACATACATATAACCACACAAAACGACGGATATCGTTCTTTCTCTCGGGCTCTTTTTCAAACACGCACGTTCTCTCTCTCTCTCTCTCTCTCTCTGTCTGATGTCCTTACAAATAGATATAGAAAAAGAAAAAACCATAAATCCCTGTGTATACAAAAAAATCACCGTAATTGAGTAATAAAAGATAACGTTTCAACGTTAGCTCTCTGCATGTGATGTACACCTATATATACTATGTAGAATCGACCCTTGGCTTATCTATACATCACGCCTTTAAAGTATAAAATCTGACCCTTCATTACGGAACTGAAATTGTGTGCCAACAATCGCACACGTGCACTCACGTACTTACTTTAAGATGCTAATAAAACCCGCGGAATAGAGTATATTTACACTTTGGAAACACGTGTACGTATACGTATTACACCCACGCTATGCCGATGGCCAACAATGGCCAATACCCGCACAATGGAGTACTGCAATGTACATACTTATTTGATGTACACAATTGTGACAAACACAATAGGAGTAAAAAACAAAGAAGAAGCATATACGGTGTAGTGTATAACACACACACACACACACATATGTATATGTAAGGGGGTTGGGAGTTGGGGGAAAATAAGGGAAAAAAGGCAAAAAGAGGAGATAAGGGGAGTCGCGAAGGTGCGAATCCCACGTATAGGTTCCCTTATCAGCTCCGAGTATGTGCATGTACATATTATTATTATATATGCATAATACGCCCATGAGAAAGGGTATATAAATTGGCACGCGCGCTTACACATACATACACTGACTCCATGAAGTCCCAGATAGTGGAAATTCGCGTTACTATCGGGTCGACTGGTTCCAATGATCGCCCCCAGGTTTCTGCAGCTTTTTTCGCTATTTAGTGGGAAAAAAAGGCAGCAGCGAGAAAATTACACACCCATTATAATACTATTTACAGCGTAACACACGTACACACGTGCAAAATTGAGCGATTGCGATTGTCGTCGGGTTATTGTCGTTGGGATCGGTGTAATATGCATGGAACGGACGTTGATGAATGATTCGCGCACCGCGGAGTTATTGATGAACTTTGCGTGCCAAACATATATATAATTATATACTATACACATATATGCACGTATATGCCATTAGACCCTGAATCCCCGCTCATTGTTCATATCCGCTGCAGGTGCCGCGGGTTATGATACAATGGCAATAATTCAAAACACGCGGGTCGTTGTTGTCCAATCCGTTGTTATGAACTTATTGTCCATGGAATTTGCTGATTTTCATTTGATGCTGCTTTTTTTTTTGTTTTGTTTCTGGAGCGCGTGTAATCCCCTCTTCGAGCGGCTCGCGATTTACGCGCGTTGATGGATGAAAGTCGGAGAGGTGTTTTTTTTTTTTTTTTATATTTATTGTAAAGGTCGGGGGTTGAAGTGAGTAGGTATCAAAGCAAGACAACCGTGTCAAAAATCATCCGGTAGAACATATTATTCTCCAAAGTTGTTGATGACCATGAGCAAACCAAATATGACTCGATTGACCATTGCAGGTGCGCCAAATCTGCGGGAGACCGGAGCTCGAGCCAACGGCGATTCTGGGCCCCCAACTGGCCGTGCCGGCGACGCGTCCGAGCGGCATCGGCGGACCGCTTCTGGGCCTCGACGGCCGCAGCCTCGGACCCGTGTACACGCCCCCCGTCACCCCAAGAACCACCAACACCCTCGACGCCCAGCTCGGGGACTTTTTGGCCAGCGCGTCCAGACTGAGGTCGTTCTACGGCACCCTCAGCGAGACCATCTGCGAGGAGTATCCCTCCAAGAGCTGCTGGAACGGCGAGCGAGTCGGAGAGTAAGCATCCATCGATCCATTTTTTTTTTTTTTTTACAAAATAAGGAAAGGAAAAAAAATAAAAGGTTTTTGTTTTGTCTCTCGAGTGCGGGAAGTGTATACGCTCGTCCGACCGATACTAGTAACCGGCTCCGCGTCGTTTTACAGCCCACGCCCGTGAATTGTTGCATATGCATATATGCATACGTATATTTATGCTCACGCACAAGTGACTCCCGCTTACATCGCGGCCGCGAAATTAAACACCCCGGGTTGTATTGCGTTGCCCACGCATGTACGGGTGTACACGGAAGCGAAAAAGTAAAGTGTAAAAAAGGGGCCGGAGGTTTCTTCGACCCGTTGTCGCGATCGTTGAAACGCTAGACACGCTGCACCGAAATCGTTAAAGATTCCTGGCGCGTCGCGTCGTTAAATTTAAGTGGGGTATAGGTGTGTACACAAAACGGACACATCCGAAGGGGGGACTATCGCGAATACGTAAATACAAAACTCTATCTGCTTGGCGGTCGGGCGACAAGTGTACGTTATAATATACACCCAAGCCAAATTAATGAATCGTTGGCTTGGGAGTATATGTATGGCTTGTGTGGTGGTGGTCTATTTGGGGAATCTCCGCGTCGTGTACACATACCTATACGTTAATGTACGTAAATCCGTGGTTAGTCGAGTATACGTTTGTATAAATAATCCGAGCGTGAATTATGTCGTATGTACGGCTTGTTCGAGAGCGACGCTAATCAAAATAAAGTTTTTAATATAGCGATGAGGCAACAAATTTTTTTTTTTTTTTCTCATTTCCGTCGAGACGAGAAGTTTGTAATGAAACGTATCCACGTTTGGCAAAGGATCGAGGGGTTATTTTAACGCGGTGAAACGATTTTTCTGGACTTTGGCTAAGGTTTTATTCATAAAAATTAATCCTCTGCCCTTTTCATCCTCGTTTGGAGTGAAAATCCACTGGCGCATCAATCACGTATATTTTACGATGAGGAAGGAAATTGAAAAAAAAAAAAAAAAAAAATCGACAAAAGCCGCGCTCGGAGCGAAAATTAATCATCTCCCCGGAGAACCGAGCTTGCGCAAGCTGTGTATCTCTCGAAAAGCCATTCGATCCGCGGCTGCGGATAGAAAGACGCTGATGAATCGGTAAGGAAACAAGCATATCGAGCTCGCGGAGAATCTCTCGCTGCACGGGATGAATGACGTTATCGTTTACAAAAAGAGGAAGAGGAGAAACAAAAAATTATGGTTTGCAAAGCTCCACGATGACTGGATATACCTCGTAGTATGTATGTATATACATGTATAAGCGCGTGAGTCACGTAAATGTCATTAATCTTTGTTAATGAGTTTCGTCATCCTCTCCGATTTATTGTTTTCGTGTATACCGATGATTCACACGGGGGTCGACTTTTAAGCCACATAGACCGGGCAAGCTTGTCATTTCATTCACCGCTTGCATAAAACATCGCGTCAATTCATATACAACGTGACACATCCCAGCCCACGTGGTCGCACCGCGGCAGCGAAAATTTCAATCCGACTAATGCTCGCGTAATCTACGTGTATATACCCTCCGAAGGGATGAAACCCAGACACCCTCCCTCGCTCCTGTATATGTATATATACGGCATATAATACACTTGGTCCAATTGCAATCGTTTGAGCTTTAACTTACACCCTCGTGGGTCTGAAAAAAAAAAAAATGGGTTACGCAATTCCTACACCTTAAATAACGGGATGCATACATTCCGGGTACGCGTGTGGATAAAGTATACATAAATCCAATCTCGGGTCATAAAAGCCAGACGTCTCTATTGCCGCGCCCTTTGGCAAACTGGAGCAATGGCCTTTTTGCATCGCCCTCTGACATCCGAGTATAAGGTACATCCAGCCTGTGTCTCACGACGTTTCCTGCATGGCCCGAGCTCTTTTTTTTTGATATACCCGAGACGAGGCCCCCCCTTCCGCACGTACAAGGGGACATAAACGTACGGCTGCAACCACGCGGAGGAGGAAGAACAAAAAATGCGCCAAATCGGGACCTCTTACGTGTCTCTCTGGGGCTGGGGGTGGAAGAAGAGTTTGGCTCCCGCGCGCGTTAAAACCCGTGGGCGGAAGTAAAATGCACCCACGCCAAGAGCACATATTATATTATATGTATATATAGCGTCGTCGCCGGCGTGCCGGCGCCCGGTACTGGCGCAGACGCTCCGGCGCCCCGCAGCTGGACCAACAACCCCGTACTCGTTTTTTTTTTTTTTTTGCCGATTCATCCTCGGGTGTAGTTATATACGTTGTATCGTAACTGTCTCCTGCAGTTGTTCGGTGCGTGCAACATATACTACATACCCACCGAGTCTGTACAAGCGTTATGGGCTTGAATGATTACACTTTGGCTGATGGGGTAAATTTTGCTCTCGACTCCTACTGCATTCTATATAAATATACTTGTGCCAAGAGAAGAATGTGCCCGTCAAACGTGAAAAATGTTTCGGATCTCACGAATACTTATTTTTCTATAACGCTTTCAATCGAGGATGACACGGGAAAGTTACCTTTTTTCGACCAGTTCGTGGGGTATAAGTTACCGGAACGGTACTTTTAATCGATAGGTACAATGGAAGGGCAGGGGTGTGTTTTCCTTTTTGTTTATCTCGTTTGGGTGTTTCAAGTAAAACCAGTTTATCCCCGTAGTGCTGTTTGGTCGTGTGTTTCATATCTGCATTTAATTTGTTATTCGTACACCCAAGAGGATGAGGTATACATATTTATATCATCTCTCTCGTGTTGCGCAATATTGCGCGTCATCATCGGTGCCGCCCGTGACTCATCTCTCTCTCTCTCTCTCTATCTTTTACACTGCAGCTGTTGCAACCAGAGGTTGTAAATTCCTATTCACCTATACCCCATACACGCGTAGCTGACGCCAAAATTATAATGTGTTGTGTGCGTGTGTACACGTAATGGCATTCGAGTTCGAGTGGTGGGTATATGTGCATTGGCCGCGTGTCACTCCCGCTGTTGCTGCCACCGACAGCACTAACGAATTTTGACGCCCGCCCGCCGGACAGCCTTGTGATTTTTATTGCCGATTTTATATACTCGTATCGATGGATTTCTGTGCTTGCCCGCGGTGATCAAGTGACACCGAACGCGTTGGAATTCATCGTCGCGTGTCATGCCTTTTACGAGCCTGTTAATAGACATATGTATACACAATATATATATAATACGCGACGCGATCGAGATAATATATAATATATTTGACAGTATGTATTTTCATGGTTGATTTAATGAATAATTTTGTCCCACTCGTGGCGCTGCGTCCCCAACATTTCTCGGGCGGATCTCCAAATTTTCATATATAACCCAATGAACAAACCGTTTGCTGTAAATTCAGATACACGTTCAATTGTTTCGCCTATTCCGTTAACCAAAGTAATGTTTCCTCCAACTATTGAACTGATATTTTGAACTTACAGCCTTGCTATACGTTGTACCTGTTGAAAAGTGTTTAGTTAAATCGACAAACTACTTGGTGCACCGTGTATTGTTTGACTGTTCCAACAAAACTTTTATCAACGCAACCGCGATGCATTGGAAAAAAAAGAGAAAAAAAATAAGCAAACAAACTTTGATTGGCAGTGATTGAAAAATAAACTTCATTGTAGCAAAGTTATAAGCAAACCGTCAGTCTCGTGTCTTATACACGTCGCTGCGAAATAAACCCTCTCCTTACACGTTTTGCCCGCATTTAATCATCAGTTCCGAAAACCGATTATTTACCCGCAACGATTAAATTCCATTTTCGCGGCTCCTGTCGCGAAACTTTCCGCGAAACTAAAATCGATTCCTCACCCCCCCCCCCGTGCGTACACGTACAGCCCTTAATTTTCTCCCCCGGCAAACTTCTCGATGTTGAATCTTTGCTCCCCCTCGCTCCCGTTTCCAAACCCGCCAAGGCGATAGTTTCACTTTATATGGCCTACTATGTCCTCCACCAGAGCCGTTACAATTTAAAAAAGCTCACCCCCCCCCCCTTAACTCGAACACAGCTTCAAATGAGCGCGTTTGTTTCAAAAAGCACACGGTGTGTACTAATTGAAGTTTCGAGAAGCACCTGTCACGGGGTGTAAGGTCACCACCACCGAATAATTCATAAAACCCATCATATACCCGGCACTCTACCAAACAAAGGAAGGAAGGAAAAAAGAATCCAACCCCCGCACCCGGAATACGTAACGACCCTTCAGTCATCGCGCCATCACCCATCCCTCGCTTACCCAACGGTTTGCGGAAGCGACGCACCCTCCCACGAACTTTTCCCCCAGCCCAACCCCCGTACGTTTACATATAGGTATATACATGTACGCGCATTAACAAAACTTTCCCCGTGCGTATATATACGTGTGGCAGGTAGGCAGTGGTGTTTGTGAGGACGACAACAGCCCGACGCACTTGCCAATTTCAAATATGCCCCCCCCCCCCCTACACCACTTTTGGAGTCAGACGTGACGGATCCCCTCGGCGTGGGTGTATTGGCGAGCCAAAGTGCGCATCCGAATTGGGGAAAACAATTCCCGCGTATAATATATATATATAATGTACACATGAGCGCGAGGATGTGTGGGATTACGCGACCCTTCGATCACACGTGATGTTTGCACTCGGGGAGTGTCTGGAGCTTGTTTCGGTGATTGACGGGTTTTCCCGCGCGTGTATGCAATATAATAATACACTATGCCTTTCCTTTGTTCGAACGGGCAAGATGTACATGACACACCAACGACGACTAATATGTATACATACGCACGCGGTGTGGGCGGATTTTTCGGGATTTCATATTGTTTGGTGGATTGCCAATCGCGGGTGATGCTCGGCTCGCGGATAAAGCGCTGTAATGTATGAAAGTGGATTTTTGTTTATTTTTGCTCGATTGGATCATCGCGTGCGTGTGTACATATATATGAGCGACAACGCGCATAAATTATTCGATG